AAAAAAAAAAAAAAAAAAAAAAAAAAAAAAATCACAAAAAATCAGCAGCACCAAAAAAACTACCCATGAGGTACAACTGTAAGATAGAAAAGGTTTAGAATGTTACCATTTCTGCCAAGTTTTGGTGTTCTTTGTGCGTTGACAAAATTGCTGATCTCCAGGTTGAGGTCCTTTAATTCTGTCGTGTTGTACAAGTGTCGTACCTGAAGGGAGGGACGAGAGACCAGGAATGAGCAATACTGACAATTGAACCTTACCGCCATGAGGTCTCTGACCCCATGCTGGTTGTGATTAACAGATTATGTGGCTCGGAGCAACATTTACCATATTTATTCCCAGAGAATTTTTGTTCAAGTCATTCTGAATTGAGAAAGCTGGTCGGATGACCAGTGAAACATCAAGAAATATACAGCAAGTGCAGTTGCCTTGACTTTTTTTTTTTTTTTTACAGATAATACTGACAATTACAGTGATGGCATCAATGTTCCCAACTTATGTCAATCCCCCACCATGAATCACACATCCTCCCTCTGCCAACTCTCCTCTCCTGACATACTCTGCTCCTTCCTCTATCCAACTGTCCATTCCGGATATACTCAGCACTGCTGCGGAACTCTGCTCCTTCCCCTAACTAACCTCTCCTGGTATACTCTGCACTGCTCTTTTTGCATGCTGGTGGAGCATTAACTGATCTTTGAGAATACACACTTATTATTTCAAGTAGAATTGATCAGATTAGACACAGAGCTCTGAGAGTCCCTTACCTGGCTGGGTCGCAGGAACTGAAGGTTGACATTGGGATACCGAGTGGTTGGGTCTACGCTGTACAGGCTGAAGTTTTTGCTGACATTCTCTGGTGTGGTCTGAGGAAGCAGCCGGTAAATACTCTCCCTGAAACCAAGAACAATAATTAGAGGTGTCAGTAATAGAGTAGAACAGCTATAAAACAATGCAGCGCCTCAAGCAAAATGGTCGGTACACCCTTTCTGGTCCAGCAGACATCAACAAATGCATGCAAATTTCCATCTTTTATTGCCTGTTTGTACAAGGCCCAATACTGCATTCATGATCATATTAGCTGCAGCAAAGCCGCTCATCATTGTCCAGATCTAGCAACTGGCGTTGCTCTCTTCAGTTTGGTTACCTCTCGGCCAGCACTTCCAGCGGACTGGCTCCATGTGCCCAGCTGCGTACCATCCAGGCCGAGTCCATGGCAGCCAGGAATCCTCGCGCTATGCCTGTTCCCATTGGCCAAAAAGGCTGTTGGAGAAATAATTCAACTTTTAGTGGTAACTCATCTCAAATAAGCAGGATCTGGTTTAAAAAAAAAAAAAAAAAAGAGAGAGGGGGGAACCAACCCTGTCCCCCAATTTCAGGCACTCATCAACAGTACCCCTTTGGATGTAGAGACACCCTCACTGAAACATGGGGACTCGAATTATCCTATGCAAAATAACACAGAAGACAGCGCCTTCTCCCCGTGTATTATTGTTTATTGTAAATAAAACTTGGAAAGGATAAAAAGCTACCTCACATATTACAAGCAGCACTCTGTTCATACAATGTTTATTGCAACTTGTAATATGCGAGTAGCTTTTATCCTTTCCATTTTTGATGAATAAGCAATACTCCACAAGGAGAAGGCACGGTTTTCTGTGTTCTTTTTGCATGTCTCAAGAGGATATTTCCCAGTAGCCTTGAGACCGAAGCCTCCCCTGTATCGTGCAAATAATTTCCACTGACTAAAGAGAATACAGCCCCGATCCTCTGAGAGCTTGGAGTGTTATTCTGGATGTCAAATTACCCTACACCAAGGAATTCTAACATTCAAGAAGCAGCACAAGGCACAGAAAAACCTGCTGGGGGGAAACAAAATAATAATAATCTTGATTCCGATCCAGCCCGGCTGGTTTGCCAACTGGGGACAGAAAGCCTCTTTTAAAAACAAGCTTCCACGGGACTATGGAAGTCCTTCCCCACCACCATTGGAACAGTGCTGGGCCAAAGACCAGAAGAGGAGGCACCTTGCACAATCACACAGAAGACTGGAGTGAGCCACATGGTCACCCATTAATGGATGTATGGAGTACTTCATGGAGTGGTGTGGGTGTAAAGGAAAGGGGAGAATGTTTGTCTGCTGTCTTGACTTCAGCGGTCTTTAATCTTTTGCAAAGCAGCAGTCTGGGGTGAAAGGGGCACCACTGAAAGCCCATAAAAGGTTCTACTTAGGCTGCACAGTGCTCTTTAACCAACACAAATTCATAGCAGGAGGGGAAAAAAAAGAAAATCAGAGGGATCTCAATGTGCTGCCTCTTCATCTGTCTGATCAAAAGTGGAGGTGGGTCTTAGACCAGACTGTATTGGTCAACCGCAGTGCAGTCTACAGAAATGTCTGAGTGGAGGACCTGGCAAGGGTGTCTGAATTGTAAAACTGGCTGAACAGAATCCTTTGGAAGTTAAAAAGAACTCCGGGAAAGGGTCCTGAACCCTCTCAGTGGTGCTACGCCCACAATGCAAGGGTTAAGTGCTCATTTTTTGTCTAGGAGCAAGACAAAAAAAAAAAAAAGTAATTCACCCTACCGCAGAGTTGGCTGGCTGCTACTCCAGTCCCTGAAGTCTCTCTCCCTCTGCTGCAGCAATGGTATGTCCCTCAGCATCCTCACAGCCTATTAACTTTGTATAGAACGTGATGACTCAAGGATCCTTAGACAACTGCAGCAGAGTGCCTCTTATGTGTCATGCAGCCTCCTTTTGTGACTGGAAATTAAAGAAGGTGGTA